AGCAGCCACCACTCTCCAGCCGCCCAGCTCTAAAGGCAGCACCACTACCAGCAGCAGCGCAGAAGAGTGGCAATGGGGCACAAAGTCTGCTGTGGAAAAAAAAAAAGTGGTATTAACCAATTTTATTCAGCCAGTCCCCCCAGTATTAAACAATTATTTTTAAAAAATAAAAACTTTTCTGCTTATAACAATTTGATAAAATTGTGTTTTAGTCTTAATTTAAAAGCAGTGAGAAAAAGGTAAATTAATTTTCAACAACAGAGTTATAAATGCAGCATTTAAAATAATGTTCAATATAAAACATGTTTTTAATTTATAAGGGGGGGGAAGAAAAATCACACTCAGAAGCTCGCTGTCTGAAAGGGAACATCAATACAAAAAGTTTGAGAGCCACTATACTAGGGGAAGGTGGCAATATGCTCTTTGAAAGGGAGGTGGCAAAGAGACATCAACAGAAACCACCAACATACATTAGATGGTTAATAAGTAATTGATATTGGTATTTTCCAGAGCAATTTCTTCCTCTCTTCCCCCTCCCCCCAAAAAGTTTAAGTACCAAAATAGTTCAACTGGACAAAAGAAAGCTTGATTTGGAAATGCTGCCACAGTGCCTCATGGGAGTTGTAGTTAGGATGCCTTATGTGCCCCATTCTCTTCTACAGGCAGGGCCCTGGTCACACTACATTTCCTAAGGTGCGCCAAGGGCCTCCTCTGTTGGAGATAGGAAACAGTACATCATGGTAGATTTAATTCAGCCAGGGAAACTGACCTATAAAGAATGAGGCCTGGTCCCCACTTAGTCCGGACTTCGGACTAAGGTACGCAAATTCAGCTACGTTAATAATGTAGCTGAATTCGAAGTACCTTAGTCCGGACTTACAGCGGTCCAGACGCGGCAGGAAGTCTCCCCCCGTCGACGCCGCGTACTCCTCTCGGCGAGCTGGAGTACCGGCGCCGACTGTGAGCACTTCCGGGATCGATCCGGGATCGATTTATCGCGTCTTAACCAGACGCGATAAATCGATCACAGAACATTGATGGCGTGCCGCCGGACCAGCTGGTAAGTGAAGACTAGGCCTGAGGCACTGTGGCAGCATAAACCTTCAAGGTTTCCCCCCCCAAAAGCAGACACTTTCCACAAAAAACCACAACAACTAATTTAGTCAAGAACACAGTTTTCCATCAAAAGTAATTTCAACATAAAAATTTTGAGCTGCCCCAATAACTACAGTATCCCAATGATTTGAATTAATAGCTACTTATTTACAACCAAAACCCACAAAAGTTTTATTTATGACTTTGTTTTAATTTTAGTTAAATGTGGAAGCTGCAAGCTCTTCCACCTGTACCAGGTATACCTATACTTTTTATCCTCAGCAATTGCAAAAGAATAGAATGACATCCAAGGTAATTCAGAGGCTACCTTCACAGAAGGCGTAACTTCTACTACTTATGCCAGTGACTAAGTGACTCATTACTTTCATAAGGCCTATAGCAAAACTGGCAGAGATTCCATCTTAATAATGGCTGTTTCAAACACTGTAGTCAGCTCTTGAAAAAGCAGTCTTCATATGTTTCACAGAGACCCTTAAAACCAGATAAAGCTTGAAATTAGTGCTACAGACCCAGAACATGCTATAGTAACACAGAGGTCAAATTCATAATATAAGAACAAAAGGCCTCCAATAAATTAGAGAAAAAGCATTGTCCCCCACAACATGTGCAAAACGTATGGATTGTATGGTAAAGAGTAAGAAGTGAAAAATATTAGTTCATGTGGAACGTGACTAACGCATGACACGCTCCCCAAATTTAGTTGAACCTTAGTAACTTCGGCCCAAACCAATGATCCACCTAGTCCAGTATTCTGTTCTACAGTAGCTAGTAATGAGAACTTTCAGAGGAAGTTGCAGATCCCTTTCCCTCTGCATAGACTAGATTATTGTACAACAACCAGTCAACTGGGAAATATTCTTCCAAACTGTAAGGTACGGGATGCCCAATTCCCTTCTGACACCATGAAGCACCTGTGCTTGCTGCTGTAATTATGAAGTCAGGAGTCAAAATTAATGACCTTTGAGCTGTAGAAGAATTTCTGTAGTCCTAGTCATTTGATAAAGTTTGAATATTGGAGGACGTCTATTCTAGTAATTTATAAACTACATGAAAGAATGCTTGATAGGTCTCTCAATAGCACTCTGTAGGATTTTTTTTTTTTTTAGTATGAAATGGAGAAAAGCAAGTGTGTACTTTGATAGTCTTTGGACTTCCTGCATGATGCCACCAAATGTGGGATTAAATTTTTTAAAGTATTATTAACAAATTTAATATGTAAACATGGAGAATGAAAGCCACCAGAAACATAAATGGAGGATGTTACATACAAGTTTCCTTATGTGGATGGTTACATGCTTGTTGCATGCACTCCAGAGATCCTCTAGTTCACCAATAAATTGTGTGTGTGTGTTGTTTTTTTTTGGGGGTAGGGGGGGAGGGGGAGGGAGGAGGA